ACTGATAGTTGAATTTTTTCCGCAATAATATTAATGGGCCTTACATTTCACCAGCAATCCCATCACAGAAATGGGCTATGGGTAAAGGCATGACCTTCATTAATATTCACATCCTCTCTGTGACCTAGGGAAATTCGTGATAGGGTACCTGGTTTTGAATCCCTCTGAGGCTGCTGGGGAGACATATGCGAGGTTAAAACGGCAGTCCATTTTAGATGGGTATACTTTGCTGTAATAAAGGTATGCGAAATTCAATGTAAAAGTAAGGCATATTCATAGCATTTTGGGCAAAATTCCACTACCAATTCTTTATCAACTTAAACGAAATAGTATGAATACCTCCCATGTATAATTTTATATAGAACCCAGAAAACATCTGTACTCCGTTTTCAATGATTTTTAGTGCTTGCACAACCTATTTCGATTCATCTTTAGCTGAGGCTCTGATCATGTTGCGAAAACGGGGTCAATTAGCACTATGCAGCTGAAAGAGACTGCGACCAAACAGAAGGCCACGCCATCTACAATCTAAATTGTTATTCGCCTCGAGACTATGTATGTTTCGAGTCTCTCTGTAATTCTTGAATTTGAAGTATCACTATTTAGATCACCTCAAGCTACCTGACTACTCTTCTTACTAAAGATTTATTGATAATCTCGAAATATAATTGAATTAAAAATAGGTTGCGCCTTTTATTCTAATGATAACTATAATTCTGTGATTGTATATGATATGAAAGAAGTCTGGCTTGCCTTATTATCAAATCTGTCCTGTGACTCAATGAAGCCCGCTATTTTGGGTGTAGTGGAAAGGGTTGTTGAGCTCACTGCTATTTAAAGTAAAAACGTATTTTGATTAGCTTCAAAGGCGATTCCTCTTAGCCAGCTGCCGATTTATTTTACTGGAAAATTCTTGTTGAAGCTGTCCAAAAATCAATCTCCCTCAAGTCCGATGTAAACGTGTTAAGCTCGAAGAAGATTTATTCTGGTACAATGTTAACAATTATGCTTCAGAAATATTTTATTTCTCAGCCCTAGTATAGTTTGATATCAAACCTTTATGCCCAAGTACACATCCGATGTATGCATGAAGAAAGGAAGGTTTTCTAAGAAGCCTTTAATCAACTACTGTCAGTAGACTTTTCATTCCGAATGTAAAGTTGGTTGGAAAAGCTTCTTAACTTAACCTCACGGGAAACCGAAGAAGTATTGCTTTTGGACTTTGACCTTTGGATTGTACTAAGATACCATTTGCCCAACACTTCACGACCCTAATCAATCCGTACTGATATTTTATCTTTACTGTAGCAGACATCGTCGTAGCAATAAACCATCATATACGAAAAAATTACTTAGCACCGCTCAGATTGCAAAATTAGGTACGATGAGTAAGTACGATTTTGGCCTGCCATCTTTCGTAGCTTAGTGATCAGATGATGTCTTTGTAACTCTTGGTTTCTGGCAGACGGGACAGACAAAAGATACTCATAGACAGATCCGAGCTGCAACTCAGTGCTCCGAAGGCTCTTTTACACAACCTAACAGTCGAAATGGCAAGGCTTTTCCTTCAGTTTCTGGCGCGGCCACTTCACAAATCCCTTCTGTCAGAGTTATTCGTTAAAATAAACAATTCTGTGATAGACGTTCTATATTAGACTCTAGTTGGAGATGATAAAAACTAAATAGGAAAGTTTTATCTACTGTCGACGCAGAATAATAGTACATATTTTGATCATAGATGTAATGAACTTCAATAACCAAACCAAGCATTCTCTTCAATTTCCAAACAAATCGCCTTTTGAACCCACCGAGTCTATACGTTAGTTTATATACTCGCGACTTCCAGGTGCAATAACATCTTTTAAAGATGGCAGAAACCTTCCTTCAACATAATTTTTGGCTGGCGATGTTATGCTTTAACCATATTTGTACTATATCTTAGCGCCGTATCATCTAACGCCATTGTGTCTATTGATGAAATGGGCCTATAAAAGAGGCTTGCCTCGTTGCCTAGGTTTCTACCTCCCCTCGCCAACCGCGATCCTAACCAATGGACATTCGGTCGGGACAAAAGATTCTCATTTCGTTCTGACATCATACCAACTATATTTTAAGTGTATTTATTCTCTTTCGATTAAGATGATAATGGGAAAGGTACTTTAGTCTTTCTACATAATATGAGTAAACCTTATGCTTCCATTAAATTTCACATAAACTTGCTTCCCAAAAGATAGTCTCATCTAGGCTGAAGTAGACTGCATTTTCGGCTATCCAGCGGGTTCGAACCATCACAATGCATCTTATACAATTAACACGTTGGCCACTACGCCACATTGCCACGAGTGTCCTTG